AAATGGAATACCTACTAGGACAAGTACACGACATTTGACAAAATAAAACACATTCAAGGGCTTGCCTTGCTTTTCGGCAATAATTGAGGGGATTGTCCTTGCAAAATGCCCGTATGGGAAGGGAAGAGTTTTCCGGGAAGGACATGCGAGGAACCAACAGGTAATTGCGATGTAGAAGCTTCCTTGACACAATCTCCAGTGCAGCTAATCGTATCAAAGATTTTGACGTGGTGGCATGAAGTATGAAGACGTCTATTTTTTGAATTACAAGAATAACTACTGGAGGTTGTATCTCCAGTTGTATACGTGTCAGGGGGCTCCTGTCCATTGATTGCAATGACATGTGGAACTTGCGGCTGACGCTGAGGTAATTGTGAAGACTTCTGAGGACCAGTAGGACTGACAGAGCTAGGAAGTGTACAAGAAAGTTTGCTGTCTATAGGGGAGGCAGCTGCATGCAAGAGTGTTTCGCCGGAGAAAGGGTGATGAAATCGAATTAAATCAAAGGTCCATAGGACGTTAGATGAAGGATTAGATCTGTCGGCATTAGTGTGTGAATCTACTACCGAATTTTTTGTAAACTGGGAAAATATTAATCCATTTTCGAGATTTGGTGCAGCAGGATTCTCAACTGATCCGTTTGCGTGGCCAGAACTTGAAGGCTGTAGGCTAGACGAAGGAATATTTGAGGTACAGGAGCTCCCCGTTCGTTTGAAATGTGAAACACCAAAAACTGAGTTAAAGATCGTTGATAAAGAAGAACGGCCTCCTGAAAGCAGCTTTTTGACTTTGTAGTAGTCGGCCCGGCGGCAGGCATCGAGTAAAAGGTGTCCTATGATAAACAAGAAAAGCAATGAATATATCTCCAGAAGTAGCTTAATTCCGACCTTTGATTCTAAAGGAGAAACAGGCATTTAAGCAATCAAATGTCATCATTAAAAAACTCAAGCCAGCGTACCCTTGTATTCGTATAAAATTCGTTCTTGCAATTCCTGACTGGGCGCTAAATCTAGTGGTGACTTGCCGTGGCAGTTAGGTAAAGTTGGATCCGCACCATAAACAAGGAGAAGAGAGCAGACTTCAGCACGAGCCTTGCTAGCAGCTTCATGAAGTGGCGTATATTGCCATAGATCTGCAGCGCGAACCTGGGCTTGACTGGCACCAGCACTAATTAAAAGTTCACAGACTTCAAGATGTCCGTAAGAGCAGGCATTATGTAGAGGAATCAAGCCACCCTTATCCTTCGCTTGAACGTCAGCACCTCGACTCAAAAGAAGCTTGACAATTTTTGTGCTAATCACGAAAAAAACCACAGAAGTTAAATGTGAATCAAAAAGGCTATTTGCATTTAATTCCTAAAGATATTTTACTGATAGCATACCGATTGTACCCTGCAGCAAGATGGAGGGGAGTCGATTTACGGCCGTCATTCGCATGGCAATTAACATTTTGTGGAGTCAGTAGGCTAAGAACTTTTTCTTCGTTGCCACTTCTCGCTGCTTCAAGCAATTCATCTTTGTGCCACTCACCAAGCAGAACAAGGCGCGTATGACCATCAGTTAAGTCAATCGAAGTTTTTCCATCAAGATTTTTTATGTATGGATCCGCCCTAGCCTATGAGAAAAACGAGAAACGTCAGGTTTAAGAGAAATTTTGAGAATGAGAAGACACAAGGCCCTACCTGTAACAACTGAATGCAGACATCAAGTTTATTTTTAATTGCTGCCTCGTGAAGAGGAGTAAAATTCCACGCATCTCGAGAGTTGGGATCAGAACCAGCGCTTAGCAAAGCAGATACAACATCAACATGTCCGAAAGAGCATGCATTATGTAGTGGTACCAAACCTGAATTCAATAAATATTACAAAAGTTACCTCCATCATCCTTAGAAAAAACATCAGCACCATTTTTGAGCAATAGCTCAACTATATCAAGACGTCCATAGCCAGCAGCAAAGTGGAGGGCAGTCGATCGTCGCCCAGATGTGTCTTTTGCATTGACCGGAGTGTTGCTCTCGAGCAATGCCTTAACGCGATTGAAGTCTCCTATTCTGCATGAATTGAATATACTCCTTTCATATGCAGTGTTCCCAGATGAGTCCAGATTAGTTGAATCACTAATAATATGGTCTACTCTTTCACATTCCGGAAAGATATTTTCTCCTATGGAAACCTCACGCCTCTGGTCACTGCGCGTTGAGATTCCAGTCATCGTTATAAGAAAAGAGTAAAAGAGAAATAAGAATATTTCCTAGATGAAAAGAGCAGCAATGAGATAGGAAAAGAGGGGGTAGGCATTTGTTCTAGATGAGCGCGCGAAGAACCAGACAGAAAATGTCAAGTAAAGTCAATACTTTTACATTCTTAAAGATATCTGTCTTAAAAAATAATATAGCATTATAGTATTATTCTCATGCGTTATTTGATGTAAATAGCCCCTGTTACCTAGTATAGTGCTTGCGATAACACGAATATAATATGAATAAACCGTGTGTAGAGAGTAAATAAATAAGGGATGAGCAAGGAAATAAAGAGAGATTTTATTAACCTTATAGATATTAGTTCGTTCATTTCTTGCTTACAGTTCCTTAATCTAATATCGAGGACATTGTAGCCATCAGATTGTCATTGTTCCAAATTCATCGCATTAAGAGCTGATGTGAATAGATACATATTTCTG